TGTTAGGGGCTTTTAAGGGACAGCAAAAGGGCGTTTAAATGATTTTTAAGGGGGGGTTAAGGGGTTTTAAGGGCTTTTAAGGGACAATGAAAAGGCATTTTAAGGTTTTCGGGGGGGTGGTTAGGGGATTTTTAAGGGGGGTGTTAGGGGCTTTTAAGGGACAGCGAAAGGGAGTTTAAAGGATTTTTAAAGGCTTTTTAAGGGGGGGTTAAGGGGGTTTAAGGGCTTTTAAGGGACAATGAAAGGGCATTTTAAGGATTTTTAAGGTTTTTGTGGGGGGTGGTTAGGGGATTTTTAAGAGGGGGGTGTTAGGTGCTTTTAAGAGACAGTAAAAGGGCATTTAAAGGATTTTTAAGAGGGGGGTTAAGGGATTTTAAGGGACAGTGAAAGGGCATTTTAAGGTTTTTGGGGGGGTGGTTAGGGGTTTTTAAGGGGTTGAACACAGCTCAAGGAGCAATCCCCCCCTGGGGCCTCTTTCCCTCAGCAAAACCCACGAGGAATTTGGCTTTTTCGTCACCCTTTTTTGCTCCCCCAAAGCCAAACCCAAGCCGCAGCCGCAGCGGGGCCGGCTGCCTGGTGCCTGCAAATAACCGGGTGGAAAAAAAGCCGGAAAAGGGTTTGTTTGCTGTGTGTCCCCCCCTCCCCTGCCACTAAAACCATAAAAATGGGGGCGTGGTTTAGTGGGGACCAGTATCTTACTGCAAAAAAGTTGCTGCTTGGGTGAGTTTTGCCCTATTTCAGGGCTTTCAGGCCTGTGTGTGTAATGAGTAGGCCGGTCTCGGCCCTGACGCCGCCCTCGGGCCCGGCTCAAAGTCCGAGGAAAAAAACAGCGGATTTGGGTGCGCGGCAGCACCCGGCAGCGCCTTATCTCTGTTTGCCTACGGCGGGGCCGGAAAAGGATGACGGGGAAACTGAGGCACGGGGTGAGCGGGGCCTTTGGGGTGTCCCCACCCCACCCCGGTCACCGCTGTCACCCTGGTTTTGGCAAAACTCCCATAGTAATCCCCATGGGAGCAGGTGTGGGGTGAGGGTCAGGGATGGGGGTCCCCCTCACCCCACCAAGGACTCCTCCATGGGTGCTCTGGTGACCCTCACCTCAAGGAGTACCCACGATAAGTATTATGGGTGCTCTGGTGCCCCTCACCCCACCCAGGACTCCGCCATGGGTGCCCTGGGTCCCCCTCACCCCACCAAGGACCCTCCATGGGTGCTCTGGTGACCCTCACCTCAAGGAGTACCCACGATAAGTATTATGGGTGCTCTGGTGCCCCTCACCCCACCCAGGACTCCGCCATGGGTGCCCTGGGTCCCCCTCACCCCACCAAGGACCCTCCATGGGTGCTCTGGTGACCCTCACCTCAAGGAGTACCCACGATAAGTATTATGGGTGCTCTGGTGCCCCTCACCCCACCCAGGACTCCGCCATGGGTGCCCTGGGTCCCCCTCACCCCACCAAGGACCCTCCATGGGTGCTCTGGTGACCCTCACCTCAAGGAGTACCCACGATAAGTATTATGGGTGCTCTGGTGCCCCTCACCCCACCCAGGACTCCGCCATGGGTGCCCTGGGTCCCCCTCACCCCACCAAGGACCCTCCATGGGTGCTCTGGTGACCCTCACCTCAAGGAGTACCCACGATAAGTATTATGGGTGCTCTGGTGCCCCTCACCCCACCCAGGACTCCGCCATGGGTGCCCTGGGTCCCCCTCACCCCACCAAGGACCCTCCATGGGTGCTCTGGTGACCCTCACCTCAAGGAGTACCCACGATAAGTATTATGGGTGCTCTGGTGCCCCTCACCCCACCCAGGACTCCGCCATGGGTGCCCTGGGTCCCCCTCACCCCACCAAGGACCCTCCATGGGTGCTCTGGTGACCCTCACCTCAAGGAGTACCCACGATAAGTATTATGGGTGCTCTGGTGCCCCTCACCCCACCCAGGACTCCGCCATGGGTGCCCTGGGTCCCCCTCACCCCACCAAGGACCCTCCATGGGTGCTCTGGTGACCCTCACCTCAAGGAGTACCCACGATAAGTATTATGGGTGCTCTGGTGCCCCTCACCCCACCCAGGACTCCGCCATGGGTGCCCTGGGTCCCCCTCACCCCACCAAGGACCCTCCATGGGTGCTCTGGTGACCCTCACCTCAAGGAGTACCCACGATAAGTATTATGGGTGCTCTGGTGCCCCTCACCCCACCCAGGACTCCGCCATGGGTGCCCTGGGTCCCCCTCACCCCACCAAGGACCCTCCATGGGTGCTCTGGTGACCCTCACCTCAAGGAGTACCCACGATAAGTATTATGGGTGCTCTGGTGCCCCTCACCCCACCCAGGACTCCGCCATGGGTGCCCTGGGTCCCCCTCACCCCACCAAGGACCCTCCATGGGTGCTCTGGTGACCCTCACCTCAAGGAGTACCCACGATAAGTATTATGGGTGCTCTGGTGCCCCTCACCCCACCAAGGACTCCTCCATGGGTGCTCTGGTGACCCTCACCTCAAGGAGTACCCACGATAAGTATTATGGGTGCTCTGGGTCCCCCTCACCCCACCAAGGACTCCTCCATGGGTGCTCTGGTGCCCCTCACCCCACCCAGGATTCCTCCATGGGTGCCCTGGGTCCCCCTCACCCCACCAAGGACCCTCCATGGGTGCTCTGGTGACCCTCACCCCACCGAGGACTCCTCCATGTGTGCTCTGGGTCCCCCTCATCCCACCAAGGACCCTCCATGGGTGCTCTGGTGCCCCTCACCCCACCAAGGACTCCTCCATGGGTGCCCTGGGTCCCCCTCACCCTACCAAGGACCCTCCATGGGTGCTCTGGTCCCCCTCACCCCACCAAGGACCCTCCATGGGTGCTCTGGTGACCCTCAACTCAATGAGCACCCACCATAAGTATTATGGGTGCTCTGGGTCCCCCTCACCCCACCGAGCACCCTCCATGGGTGCTCTGGTGCCCCCCACCCCACCAAGGACTCCTCCATGGGTGCTCTGGTGACCCTCACCTCAAGGAGTACCCACGATAAGTATTATGGGTGCTCTGGGTCCCCCTCACCCCACCGAGCACCCTCCATGGGTGCTCTGGTCCCCCTCACCCCACCAAGGACTCCTCCATGAGTGCTCTGCATCCCCCTCACCCTACCAAGGACCGTCCATGGGTGCCCTGGGTCCCCCTCACCCCACCAAGGACCCTCCATGGGTGCTCTGGTGCCCCTCACCCCACCGAGCACCCTCCATGGATGCTCTGGGTCCCCCTCACCCCACCAAGGACCCTCCATGGGTGCTCTGTCTGGTGACCCTCACCTCACTGAGCACCAACCATAAGTATTATGGGTGCTCTGGTCCCCCTCACCCCACCGAGCACCCTCCATGGATGCTCTGGGTCCCCCTCACCCCACCAAGGACCCTCCATGGGTGCTCTGTCTGGTGACCCTCACCTCACTGAGCACCAACCATAAGTATTATGGGTGCTCTGGTCCCCTCACCCCACCAAGGACCCTCCATGGGTGCTCTGGTCCCCCTCACCCCACCAAGGACCCTCCATGGGTGCTCTGGTGACCCTCACCCCACCAAGGACCCTCCATGGGTGCTCTGGTCCCCCTCACCCCACCAAGGACTCCTCCATGGGTGCCCTGGGTCCCCCTCACCCCACCACAGACCCTCCATGGGTGCTCTGGTCCCCCTCACCCCACCAAGGACTCCTCTAAGGGTGCTCTGGTGACCCTCACCCCACCAAGGACCCTCCATGGGTGCTCTGGTCCTCCTCACCCCACCAAGGACTGCTCCATGAGTGCTCTGGTGACCCTCACCTCAATGAGTACCCACCATAAGTATTATGGGTGCTCTGGTGCCCCTCACCCCACCAAGGATCCTCCATGGGTGCTCTGGGTCCCCCTCACCCTACCGAGCACCCTCCATGGGTGTCCTGGTGCCCCTCACCCCACCAAGGACTCCTCCATGGGTGCTCTGTGTCCCCCTCCCCCCACCAAGGACCCTCCATGGGTGCTCTGGTCCTCCTCACACCACCAAGGACCCTC